TCGCACCTAGGTCCCCTTCTTTTTATTTTGTACATTAATGACGTCTCTCTTATTTTAAAAATTGTCAGAGTACTTATATACGCTGATGACATGAAGCTATTTTTAGAAATAGGAAGCGATAACGATATGAATTTGTTCAGAATGAAATAAATGTTTTTTTACAGATGGGATGGTGTAGTTAAAATTTATTGAAACTAAATATTCAAAAATATAATCTTATAACGTGCAGTAGAGCAGGCAATATGCTTAATTTTATAAAACGTTTCGGTCTCCCCTTTAAAGATCCTAATACAATCACTTTACGTTGCTTATGTAAGGTCAATATTAGACTATTGTAGCGTTGTTTGGTCACCTTATATGAAGAAGCATGAAAAACGAATAGAGTCAATCCAAAAGCAGTTTTTATTATATGCACTACGTAAGCTAGGTTGGACGGCTTTTCCTCTCCCGTCATATGAAGCTCGTTGCTTGTTGATCAGCATTCAAACATTGAAAGAACGTCGGGATTACGCAAAGATTAAACAATATCATTTCGCAACGCATTAACTCAGCTGATCTATTGCCAAGATTAAATTTGTTTGCACCTTCCCGTCAATTACGCAATCGACACTTGTTTGCAGTAGATCGCCATCGAACCAATTACGCTAAATTTGGACCGGTAAATCAGATGATGACTGTTTATAATCATCATTGTGAAACGATTGACTTAAATATGCTCTCAACAGAATTAAAAATATATTTCAGAACCCTGCGAAGTCATAGATCATAAGTCATAATGTTAATATGTAGTCTACGATTTGATTGATTGACGAATAAATAAATAAATAAAAAATAAAATGCCGAGCTGCTCGGTGATGCCTATCTCGGCAAAAAATCTAAGTATGTAAGATGGCAGAGGAAATACAGTCCAACCTAACTTGCGGAGTGGAACAAACTATGCTGCAGTATTCTAATATCGACCTTATGTACATTTTTTTTATGTTATACGGATCGTGAAAGATCCCTGACTCTATCACATTTTTCCACGTTCTGGTTTCCTAAAGTAATGGTTATATCGGGTATGTTTCGTTTTCTACTAAAGGTAAATGAGTTACATTTTTTTACATTTAATTGTAGCAAGCTTTTGTGACACCAAGTATGGAATATCTGTATTTCCTTTTTGAATATGATAATGTCTTCGGCATATTTAATTTCCAAAACAAGTTTAATGTCGTCAGCATAGGTTAAAACTTAACAATTTCTTAATGACGAAAGAGATGTCATTGATGAATAGAATAAATAAATAGAGTCCTAAATGAAAGCCTTGAAGAACTCCCGAAGTGACATCAATGAATTTTGTATGTCTTTCCTTTGTATTTTACTATCTGATGATAGTTAAATATGATTCATTTGAGGAGAGTGAAATGAATTCCCATTTTTTAAGTTTAAATAGAAACATGGATATGTCAATTCAATCAAACGCTTAGCTGAAATCTGTATACAACACTTCTATATGGTTTCCGTTATCCATTGAATTCATTGCATTATCCGCTTCTTCTCGGTAAAGAAATGCCGAAGTCTTCTTTTCCCCTAATTGAAGAAGGCGGCTGCTGTTTCTGGATATCGCTTACTTCCTCTACACTGTTCTTCTCGGCACCCGGGAACGTCACATCCATCTCCACCACCTCTTATTCCAGCACATTAACTGCCCTGTGCGGCATAATAGTCCCATTAGCATTTTTGGTGAAAATGAGTTATACATTCACACCTATAAACGATTACCGACTTCGGTAAATTTTACCGAACTTTCAAAAGCTTAACTGTTCGGTAAAAATCAGACAATTTAATTCATTAGTTTCAAAGTTTCAAAAAAAACGGCGCCGGTGGTGTAGTGGTAAGCGTGATTACCTCTCACCCCAGCAGGCCTGGGTTCAATCCCAGTCGGCCCCGCCGGGATGTTCTGAGGCATAACATCTCTGATCACGCCTTCCTTCGGATGGGAAGTAAAGCCGTTGGTCCCCGGTTCATGAGTTGATGGGTCGATAGGTAGGGTCCAGGTGTGGGAGCTGCCTTCCTGGCACGTCGGTAGCATTGGTGCTCAGCACGGAAAACAAGATCGACGGAAAAACAAAACCAAAGAAAAAAAAAAGTTTCAAAACAAGGAAAATTTCACCGCAATGGCAAGACTCGATTATTTAAACAAAGCTGACAATGTTTTGAAGTTAAAATGTAGTGAAAAAGCTTTTGAAAGGAAGTTCAAAGTTTTACCGAACGTTCAGCTGTTGAAAGTTCGGTAGAAAATTACCGAAGTCGTTAATCATTTCTAAGTGTGTTGACATTGATTGTCAAGTAACATCACTTTACAGTGTACACGATACGTTTCCTACGTTGTTCAGAAAATGACACGAAAAATACCAGAACTATGTTATCCCATCCATAAGAGCCCATGAAGAAAAAAAAACCCTTCAACAGCGTTTTTTTCGGCTTGTTGTTTTAACGAATGGGACAACTATACTGAAAAGGGCAGTTAACCGCTCCTCTGTTTTTATTGTTGTTGTCCAAAACGATGCACCTCCAGTCACTGTTCTTCATTCCGCTGTTGGTTTTTTGACTTAGGACTGCGACTTTGTGAATATACTGGGGTGAAAATCAAAAAATTGTGTGACGAAATAATGTTAGGTTTTAAACGCTTATAACTTGGTCATTTATTGATAGATTTAAATTATATTCACATCGTTTGATTCAGAATTGATGTAAGATTTTTTGGTAGGATTATAGTAATTTATTATTAGTAGACTGTTGAAAATTGATCAATCTTTTGGCCGCAACTAACCAATCACGTGCTCGCTTGCTGTAACTATCGAGGGAACAGAGAGAGGCGACCGGTTGCGAGGTTTTAAAAGAGCTTACCTGTACGTTTTGCTTCAAATCGTCTGGGGATGTGACGGTTGTCACATCTAAAGAGCCTAAATTTATAAAGAGGCGACATGTCAAAATTGGAACAATCGATTGTCTGTCAAAGTCATATGAAAAGTCATTCCAATCGAGCAGAAGACCTGTCAAATGGATAAGATGTCGTCTCTTTATAAATTCAGGCTCTTTAGTCACATCGTAACGACGCTGTACACGGCCGATGAGACTAACTCAAAATTGAGTAGGATTTCTCTCAAAATAGTAAAAAGTGAGTAAAATTTTCACCAAAAATATGCTTGAAGAAAAAAACTTTACGTCTTTTAATCTATGAGTACACTAGTACACGGCCAATGAGATTAACTCATATTGAGCCGTATTTGACTTAAAATTTGCAAAAAAAAAGCGGTTATTAAGTGAATGAGTCAATTTTTCCACGATTTTCTAGGAAAACTTCTTGAACACCGTAGAACCCCATTGAATAGCTAAAATTGCATTTAAACGGCGTTCACTTTGAATTTGTTTAACGGATATCCCTATACCGCCCAACGGCGCTACGCAATGTAATGCAATTGTGAGTTGAATTCGACTCAGGTATTGAGTTATTTTTATCGGCCGTGTAGTCTGGTTAAATTTTTCATAATTTTCGTTATATCCAAACAGGTTTTTGAGGAAAATTTGACTCACTCAGTGAGTAACCACACTTTCATGATTTTAAGTGATCAGGTTCAAATAATCCATTAGGATTAAATACAAATGGAGATAAAATCCCATTATATCCTTACTTTATTTATAAGGATGTATTTGGATTTGCAATTTGTATTTGAATTTTAATTGGATTTATTTGAAAGTTTAATTATTAATTAATAGGTCCATCAAATTTTATCCCTGCCAATCCTTTAGTTCCTGTTCATATTCAACCAGAATGGTATTTTTTATTTGCTTATGCAATTCTACGATCAATCCCTAATAAATTAGGAGTAATTACATTAGTATTATCTATAGCTATTTTAATAATTTTACCATTTTTACTCATATTAGTACATTCCGAGGACTTCAATTTTTTCCTTTAAATCAAATTTTATTTTGAAATAAAGTAACATGAATTGGAGCACGACCTGTAGATCCTTATTTTCAGTGATGTCATGGTGGTTTTAGAACTGGTAACCCTCCAGGGTAGAAGGTTTCTGTCTTTGGAAAAGTTTTTCAAGTGAAAGAAGCTTATTTCTTTTAATTACTTTCCATTTGAAATGTTGATCTTTGAAATCGGCCTAATGGTTCAAAGTTATAACTTTTTGAAAAATTTCATTTAAAAAAACGATTTTTGGGCCACCCTAACATGGAAATGGTCACCCTAATGACAAAATAAAATATAATAAGGGTCTAATATTTTGCGATAAGGAACAAAACTACCAATTTTTACGAAATTCTGAGAACCACTATATCGTTTTGTTATGGAATGGCTTTTTTTCCTTGATTTGTTTTCCGTCGATCTTAATTTCCGTACTGAGTACCAATGCTACAAACGCCAGGAAGGTAACTTCCACACCTGGACCCTATCAATCGACCCATCAACTCATAGACCGGAGAACAACGGATTTACTTCCCTTCCGAAGGAAGACGTGATCAGAGATTGTATGCCTCAGAAAACACCGGCGGCGCCGACTGGGATTGAACCCAGGCCTTTTGGGGTTAGAGGTACCACCGGCACCGCTGTATGGAATGGCTGATTTTTTTTTATTAATCTACGTTTAAAATATTGCTGATATCACGTAAGACTGTCTTTCAATGAGCAAATTTACTTCAAATTTTCACCGAATATCATAGGTATGACTTTTGATATCAAGATAGCCTATATTACGTGATATCAGCTAAGTCTGAAAATACTATTAAATTGGTAGCAACGAATGATATCAGGAAAGCACGTTTTGAATAATCTAACATTTAGAATTCAATTTATTTTATAAATAATCAACGGCATTTGATCTAAAATACAATTTATACAACTGAAAAGCTTAATGTTTTCTGCATGTTGATTTCATTTAACATTCCGCATCAGTTCTATTGTTTCTTTCATCATACTTAAACCACGAACTATTAATCTTTCACAGACGATGAAGGTGGCAACGTAAAACCGATGCTACTCAACGGAAAATCCAAATCATCGCAGGACGAGTTGCAAGTTCGACTCGGTTTCTTCCTGGAAAACAACCCTCGCCGAAATATGCGCGCACCGATACAATCCTGTAGTTCGCTAGCCTCAACCAACACCAGTCCGGTGTCGACCCTCACCGGATCTTCGGAAGCCGATGTTTCTCGTGCTCAACAAATACAAGAACCAAACCACTACAATACCGGCTGTGATTCCATAGGCTCAATGATGTCGGTATCAATATCGGAGCAAAGCAATGCATCCTCGAGCCCCATGAGTCGGAGGCACTCGGTTACTAGTAAGTTTATTTGAGTATTTTCAATTAGAACAAATTTTACCCAGGAAATGTGTTATTCTAGCATCTCAAGGTGGCGGTAATGTGGACGACCTAGCATTGTTCAAAACCAGGAAAACTACTGTTAGAAGGTCGGCTCGATCGGGTCAAATCAAGGGGCCAATTGATCCGAAAATCAGATTTGCACAATACCGTCAACATCTACAACTTACGTTGAAACCATTATTCTTCGAAGTACCTACACAGGAACCGGATCCGTTGTTTGTTGGACGTCATTGGTTAGTACGCGAACTGGCCAATGCTGTCCAGTCTACCGATTCACCTGGTATACTATTGAGCGGTAACTTGGGAACTGGAAAAACAGCTCTTCTTCTGCAATTGGTAGAATACTCATGTTTTGGACGTCGTAAAGAAATGCCTATCCAGGAGAACGATGGAATCTACTGCCAAATCAACGTTGCACATGACAGATTGCGTAATCTTGCTTCGCACGTGGTAGCATACCACTTCTGCCAAGCGGACAACAATTCAACCTGCCTTATTCCGGATTTCATTCACTCTCTAGCGGCTCAACTCTGCCAGGCACCACAGCTGGCTGCCTACCATGAGTTCCTACTCGGTGAACAAGCTCTTCAGAATGTTCTTAGTGTAAAAGAATGTATTGCTGACCCTGAACGAGCCATGATCATGGGTATACTGGAACCATTATCCGCACTACGGAGGGTGGGAAAGATACCCCCTAAGAACAGCGTTATTCTGATAGACGCATTGTGCGAAGCAGAGTATCACAGGCCAGATCACGGTGAAACAATTGCATCGTTCCTGCAAAAGATGGCAGAACATTTCCCATCGTGGTTGAAAGTAATTGCTACAATTCGGACGCAAATGTTGGAATTCACAAAGGGATTGCCATACACGAAGATGAGTCTCGACAATTGGAATAGCAATGAGGCGCTGCAAAAGGATATTCTCGAATATATTACATTCCGGATCAATCAGAGTTCCAGCATTCAGCACAACATTGCCGGAGGCAAAGAAATTGTTAATACAAGCCTACATTTCAAATTTGCTCAACATTTGCTAAGTCTTACGAAAGGTTCCTTCCTGTATGCCAAGCTGACGTTAGATCTGATCGAACGTGGTAGCTTGGTTATCAAATCGAGCAGCTTCAAGGTGCTTCCAGTTTCATTGGCTCAAATATTCTTACTCAACTTTAATCTGCGGTTCCCGACAACGACCGCCTATGACAAGATCTCCAGTATTTTGAGCGTCTGTTTGGCTGCTCTCTATCCGTTGACATTGACCGAATTGTTCTACTCGGTCAACGCCTTGATAGTAGAAGGTGAAGGAGGGGAACATATCGATTGGGAAGAATTTATGTGCAGATTTAAAACATTGACGGGATTCCTGATCAAGCGGATAGACAATACGTACATGTTCTTTCATCCTTCGTTCAGGGAATGGTTGATAAGGCGTGACGATGGAGAAAGCACTAAGTTCACTTGTGATCTCAGAAACGGTCATGCTGGTATATCTCTGCGCTTATCTCGCCTGCAAGCTCCATTGGATCCAGAGCAGGCCCTCGAGCTGGGTCACCATATACTGAAAGCACACCTTTACCGTGCAGCGCCTCAGCATCAATCACCAAGAGATTTGCAAGCATTTTGGGTCGCTTCTGTAACGTTGTGCGTTTCTTCTGCGTTGTGTACCCTTAGAAATGTGTACAGTCCCAACATTAAAGTATCTAGACTGCTTCTGCTAGCAGGTGCTTCACCAGATCACATAACTAGCTTTTTGGGCAACGCCACCGTCCTATGCATAGCTGCCCATGAAGGAATAGTGCCAATGGTTAGCCTCCTATTGGAATTTGGAGCCAACGTTGAGAAAACCAACAGCCAAGGTTGCACTCCACTGATCCTAGCCTCGGCGAAGGGACACTGCGATGTCGTTCGACAGCTTGTTGCCGCTGGTAGTGCTCTTGGTCAGACAGATACGTCCCAGAGATGTGCATTGGTTCACGCCGCCATCACTGGGAAGCTCAAGGTTGTTAAATATCTCGTGGCATGCGATTGGAACCCAAGACCGAAAAGTAACGACGTCACATTAGAACAGGCAGCTCAACAAGCATTGATAGCTGCATCAGGCCAAGGAAATACCGAGATTGTAGAGGATTTCTTGGACATGGGTGAAGTGCACGTGAACAGGTTGGACATCATTACCGGTGAAACGGCGCTAACAACGGCTTGCATAAATGGACACACGGAAACTGTGACAATCCTTCTCAGTCGAGGAGCTGCGACTGATGTTAGAAACCGAAAAGAGCAATCGCCTCTGCTAATTGCAGTTAAGGAAGGTCACTGGGCAATAGTCGAGAGATTATTACAAAATCAAACTGACGTCGAACAGACAGATAGCAATGGGAAAACAGCACTGATGGTTGCAGCTGAAGAGGGACACGTTGGAATAATTGAATTGCTACTCAATAGAGGTATGTAGGTTATCATGTAGACATACATTCATTGAAAACTAATGGATCTTTTCACACTTTCAGGAGCATTTCTCAGTACGTTAGATAAGGATGGCCTCAGTGCACTCAGCTGGGCATGCCTTCGAGGAAAACAACAGGCTGCCAAATGCTTATTGGAAAGAAATGCAGATAAACAGCATGCAGACAATACCGGCAGAACCCCACTGGATTTGGCTGCCTATCAAGGATCGGCAGCATTAGTTCAAATGCTACTAGATCATGGAGCACAGATCGAACATGTCGACATCAATGGAATGAGACCCTTGGATCGGGCTATTGCATGTCGTAATGTTCAGGTGGTACAGGTTTTCCTGAAACGGGGAGCTAAGCTAGGGCCTGCTACTTGGGCCATGGCCAATGGGAAGTCCGAGATAATGTAAATTTACCTTATCCTTCGAAGTTATTCAGAAATCTGATAAATCTTACTACTTTTCAGGCTCATACTTTTGAACAAACTTCTAGAAGACGGAAACACCTTATATCGAAAAAACCGCCTGCAAGAAGCATCTCATCGCTATCAGTATGCTTTGAAGAAAATACCTTCGGTTTCACAAGCTTCAAACACCAGCACAACTAATGATAATGGCACAGAACAGTCACCTCTGTACTCAGCTGATACTAACAACAACTCTGCTAATCATGCAACCTTCCAACAATTAAAATTCAATTTTTTGCTCAATTTGTCCCGCTGCAAGAGGAAAATGAATGTAAGGGCTTTCGGCCTTAGATCTTAGCTCCTGCAACTAATTCACATTTTCCCTTTTTCAGGATGTTGCAGAAGCAATCGAGCTAGCAACACAAGCAATTGAAATCAAACCAAATGCCTACGATGGATACTACGCACGCTCGAAGGCGCGGATGGAGTACGCAAACTATGGAGAAGCTCTAAGGGACGCCGGCATAGCTCTGACAAAGGCACATTCAACATCGTTGGAAATACGCGAAACGCTCACCCGATTACACAGTGACCTGCAGAAACGGCATGTGCAGGCTATGGCAGAAGCAGGAAATTCGACAGTGTTAAGTGGAGCTGGGGAAAGCAGCACCAGATCTAGTTCCGTGCATAGCAGCCGATCAATCGCTGAGTGCATGGACATTATTACAGATTTGTAATGTATAAACGCAACTCGATACTTAAAGCAGAATAAGTTTAGTTTTACAATTTAACAATAAAAAAAAAACGTAAAACCGAAAAAAGACTAATGCAAATCATCATTCGCAATGCAATAAAACCCTTAGTGTGTTAACTTTCCTTAGGGTAATCTTTTAAATTTAGTTTTCATTTTCAACATTTCTACTTAATAGCACTAAAAGTGCACAATACTATTGTAACGTATAATTCCTTTGAAAAATGTTGTGCAACTTATTCAATCTAGCTTAAAATCGACAGCCTTAACTTAACGAAGCGAATGTTATTCTAAATTATTTATGAGTGATCCAGGAACGTTAACTTGAAGCATTTCTAGAATTTGTTCTTAATTCTATTAGCCATACATGCAATGTAGGTATTGTACATAACTTGATGGGATGTTGAAAGAAGACATTTAATACATTTCAAACTATTTATCATGCATGTTCTAGGGCTTAGACAAAAGGTTTATGTGGTTTCAAGCATTCTTAGGATAGAATTAAATTATTTTGAGTGTATATAAAACAACATTTCATCATTTCTGTACCCAATTAAATCGAGAATAAAATAATGTAAATTTTAGATAAAACTTGTTCAATTCTTTTGCCTTTTTTCAAGATTCAAGCCATGAGTCATTCCGATTTTTCGCTAAAGGGGTATTCGGGATAAGACGGGCAATGGGGATTAGACGGACAGTTGATAGTTTGATGGCTTAACTATTTAATCGGGTTTTTGTTACATGCACTCTTAATTTACGATATTTAAACCTCTCCTTCCCTTCCATGGTAGTCCATAGGTAATCCACAATTTTTAGGTCCCCCTCATGTTTGTCAATCTACCATTTAAAAGTCTTCTTCGTGTGCTCATTTTTCTCGTTCAAATGTGTTCTTATGAATTCAACTGAGCAACTATTGAAAAACAATTGATGATGATGGTGATTTTTGTGTGAGTTCATTAATTTATTTGATAAGGCTCAACCGAATTCACTTTACAGAGCCGAAGATTCTTGTTCACTACACAAAGCATCTTAAAGCTATTATCAAAAGGTACACCACAATAAATTTATCTTCCGCTATCCAAAAAGCCTCTTCCATCAGAATGGGAGCCGCTTCCAGTGATTTCATTGTATGGCAGTATCGCCAACGGGGGGCAGAGCGCTTCCATTGCAGCAATGGACGCAAAACGTGGTCAGCACTAGGGGCACGCAATAACCTTGAACTCCAACGCAGGCAACGGCTGTAATTAAATTAATTCCATTGACATACTTTAATTACATTAATTACACAATGTAGAACATTAACTACTCTTTATCTCCAGCTACAACATAAATCCTATTAGAGCGCATTGTATGAATATTTACGCTCATTGTTCTCAAAACAAAAGAAGCGCTCCCAGCGAATCCCTTTTTTCTACGTTTATCCGTAGGACGAAGAAAATCTAATGGCGTTCCAATGCGTTAGGACGGAATTGAAACTCGTTGAACGAATTTAGAATCAAGAATCTGTATTAGATTTTAAACAATATCTCAACAATTCGTGACTCTTTATCAAATCTAACGGTACGTATGGAAAGGTGAATAAATTTAGAAGTAATCTTTGACAAAAAATATGCCATTTTTTGTTCAAACCCGTTCAAAAAAAGAGGGGTAAAGTGAGGGTTGTGCTTAGTATGACGGAAATTAGATCAAAAACCCTACTTTGCCTTTAATTTTTAAAATAAGGATGTGATATAAGTAGCAAATAATTCATTCCTAAATTGCAGTTTGGGCATATTGTATGTATTAATGCGATATGTTTTCAAGCTTTTTATGTTTTAATCTCCATTCCATTGGTTCTTATTACGACTGTCACTTCACGGTGAAAACGAAGTGAAGTGAAAATGAGTATCTCACTGTGACATGAGTCGGCTTGCAAATCACTTCACCTTGAGTGATTCAATGTCACTTCATTTCGTTTTCACCGTGAAGTGAAGCCCGTAATAAGGGCCATTGAGTTCAACGAAAATCACTTATCATGCAGAAACCATGCTTTGAGTACTGAATCATATTCCAGCAAATTTCTGCAACCCAGGATGCCTTCAGTTATGAATTGCACAAAGTATCGTGCCGATCTTTGGAACCGTAAAATATTCCACAAATATTTATCGTCATAGGTAGCTGAAAAAAAAGAATAAATTTGTTAGAAACACATTCCTATGAGACAATATTAAGTAGCTATGGGTGATAGGATACGGTCAGTTGCCGATATAATCTTGAATGAAATACGGTACAAATCATTTCCACAAAACGTGAAAGTTTGAATTGTTGTGTAGTTTCAAATCAGTCTCGTCATCGGTATCATCATGGTAAGCAGCGTTGGAAAAGATCGCGATATTTCACGAAGTTCACCAAGGGAAAAGTTCGCGAGTCATAGTGAGTTTTGGTGCACTTTTCCAACACTGATGGTAAGTTTTGTTATTTTTATTGAGTCGGCAAAAAAAAACAATTGAAATACTTACTTGTTTGAAAACCAGCTACCACACTGCACCAGGTGCAATTGCTATCAAGTTTCTGAAACGGGAAACAGAATCGAGTTGTAACAATACTGGTATTCAATATAGAGTATAGTTTGTGTGGGAAAGGGAATCAGTTTAAAATTAAATGCGTAGGAATTTTAGGAACAAGTTTTCTTCATGTTTCTATCATAGCGAGCTGAGTAGTAATCATCACATAAGTGGTTAATTAGATTATTATCATGTTAGCTGTTCTTACCTTTCTGTTTGGAAAACGATCCTCTCAATATCCATCTTTATAGATCTCGCGATTATCCGATCCTACGAAAAGAAACCAAAAACGATTAGAGCTGGTTCGACCATTTAAACATTAAAGAATGCAATAACAAATTGAATCAGCCACCAATATAATCTTGGAACGAAATCATAACATCCTGCTTCTGTAAAATACAGAAACGTTGGTTGTCATATGATTTTGTTTCAGTCTCGTCATCGGTATCATCATTTTTATGCTATTTTTTATTCCGTAATTTAACGACATGCTACAAATTTCCAGGACTTGTATTTGCTGGGAAATCTGAACAATATCGTTAGGTTGATAGGTATAGGACATTTATTCACCTTTTGACTTGGACCAGACCGAGGCTGCCCATTTTATCGGTTCAGAAGATCTGTAAGGAAAAAACAAATCCTCATTGTAGCTAATTTTGTTACTAAGAGACCGTCAGTGGGCACGATAAGGAAGTCAGTAACTAAATAATGCGTAGGAATTAGGAACAAGTTTTCTTCATGTTTCTATCATAGCGAGCTGAGTATGAATCATCACAAAAAATGGTTTAAAAAGTACTGATGAAAGTTTAGTTGATCTTACCTTTCTTATTTGGAAACCGGTCCTCAGTTGCATTTCCTTTAATCATCATTACATGACTTGCAGTTGTAACAGCTTCGTTCCTGTGTAATCGAAAGAAACCCAAATTATTAAATTTTGCTCAACCATTGAAGATTTGAACACTGCAATAACAAAAGGAATCAGTTGCCAATATAATCTAGAGCGTAATCGTAACATCCTGCTTCCGTAAAACACAGAAACGGTGGATGTCGTATGATTTTACTTCAGTCTCGTCATCGGTATCATCATTTTTGTTAATGCAGTATTTCCTTCTATTCAGTATCTGTCGGATTTCCACTAGTTTATCAGAAGCAAGTGACAAGTTTGTTAGGTAAATCTGAACGATAACGTTAGGTGCGTTGTATTATTTAAATTGTATGTTTACCTTTCTGCGCCAGCTCGTGCAGCTCATCTCGTTTCATTGGATCTGAAAGAAATAGAACAAATTTTAATTGTAGCGAATTTATGAAGAAGCCGTCTATATGAAAATGATACCAGTATTTTAATCAGTAACTAAATAATGCGTAGGAATTAGGAACAAGTTTTCTTCATGTTTCTATCATAGCGAGCTGAGTATGAATCATCACGGAAACGATTTCAAAATTAGTAAGTGATGAAGCTTTAGTTGATCTTACCTTTCTTATTTGGACAACATTGGTCCTCAATTTCCTTTGATGATCAGTATGGCTTGCAGAAATGTAAGCGATAATGGATTCGTCCCTGTGTAAGCGAAGAAAACCCAAATTATTAGACCTTTTTCTAGCGTTCAAGCATTGAACACTGCAATAACAAAATGAATCAGCTGCCAATATAATCTTGAGCGAAATCGTAACATCCTGCTTCCGTAAAACACAGAAACGATGGTTGTCGTATAATTTTGCGTCAGTCTCGTCATCGGTATCATCATTTTTGTTAATGCGGTAATTCCTTTTTATTAATTACAGTACCCGTCAAAAGTATGGAAACGCATTAAAAAGTATACACTCATTTTGAATAGGGGAAAAGTTGGCTTCGGCAATACCTTGACCAATTATCGTCAGGGGGTAAAACAACATCCTTGAGAGCTCAATTTTGGCATGTGGATACATTGTGTTTCAGAGCAACTATTGGCCAAATTTGAGAGCTCTAGAACTTTGTTTACCCCCTGACAATAATAGGTTAAGGTATTGCCGAAGCCAACTTTTCCCTACTGCATTACCTAGAAAAGTTTAGCAATACATATATTACCTAGTATTGCAATACTTTTTCCATACGATTCCATACTTATGGTGGATAGTATATATCATTGTAGTAAAATAGATGGATTTTTTACCTTTCTGAACTAGGTTGTACCTCGTATGTCTCATTTCAAAGGATCTGAAATAAATAAAATACATTGATACTATTAAAGCAAATCAATATGAAAAAATCTTATGTATGGTAATCAGTAGCTAAATAATGTGTAGGAATTAGGAACGTAGGTCGGGTGGAGCAAGAGTGCCACCTCCTATAATTTTATAAATAAACACGTTTTCAATGCTAATAATTCACCCATGAAACTATGAATGGTATTTCTATGCAGCATTATAGAAAGTTCTGTCCAAAATGAAGCATTTCAAAAATTACAAAAAGTTTGTTTTCACCAAATTTGACAAAGCCAGCTACATAAAACATCAACAAAAATAGTTTACATTTGATTTCATTGGTAAACATAGTTCATTTGTTATGTATTGAATAATATTGTAAAAATCAATTGTTAAATTGGGTGAACAATAACAGCTGCTGCTAGCCTCACCTCACACCTCAATACCCCTAAACAACCCAAGTTAAGACGCATGGCCTTTTGCCCCATTGCAGTTTCAAATAAAGATTTGAGATGGCATTTTGAAAAAATCGAAAACAACTTTTTACGAGATATAATTTGCATTACATTGCTGATGTATGAAGGCAATAATATGAAGTTGCAATACGGTGTAGAAACTCCTACAAATATCCACTATTTGGCATATATAGAACGTACAATTAACCACTTTATTCTAGCACTTAAAATGACGTTTGCTACCACTCGAACTTTGAAATAAAACATTATTTTGAGATTTTTTCTTCTAGAACCTCGAGAAAAGTAGCCGACATTCGTGCGTTTCATAAAAAAATAGAAATTAGTTGGTCCAGTTTTGTGAAATCGCTGGTAGAAAGTCAAGCCAAAACTGCTTGACAAAGTGGTCAATTGTTAAGGTGGCACCCACCCGACACTATATAGTGTTTAGAATCCTTAACGCCTTAACTGTGATGAACGATTCTCTTTATCGATTTTCTCTTCACAGTCAAGTTAACCAATTTTCCGAAATTATTCCAATACAAACTAGTTGTAATAACTAGAAAAAAGCAACATCAAACTCACCGACAAATGTTAATCCAGACAATAATTCGTCAAAAGAGAACATCGATAAAAATAATCAATCATTGCAGTTAGGCCGTTATGATTCTAAACGCTATATATGCTCAATTTGAATGACAAAGTTTTTCGTTTCGAGATACGCAATGTGGTCCCTTAAAATCAAGTGCAGTCCAAAGGGTCTTGAAACTGTTGAAATGTTCAGAATCACATTTTTTCGAATGTGGACTTGGTATATTTATTTCCCGATTTGTCATCAAAATTCACGGGCTTTTCCAGGTGATTTCGAATTCACTGGTCACCCTGATATTAGAAGGGTGGCTACACGAATGATCAGACCGAATCACAATTGAGTCGAGTCGACTCAATTTCGTCAAAAATGGATTTCCTGCAGCTCCATTCACCCAGGTTAATTTTGAGTTAAATGGCTTGAAGTAGTTGTTATTCGCGGGCATGTAAACAAACTACTTACTATAAGGTTGTTTTCACCCAACGTCAACTTCATACAACTCAATATAAAATTGTAAAATTGTATAAGATATAAGATATATATTTAATTTCTGAATTTACACTAAGAATTGAAGTTTTTTTTAGGTATGCAATTTGATTACTTTTGACGAAAACCGAATAATGTGGCGTATATACATAAACCACGATGAATAATTGTTGATACAATCGAGAAACTTCTGTACTGCCATACATAAGATTATTTCAGGTATTGTATACCTACCCTAATGTTCACAGCCACAGCTAAAGCTTCTATAGTAAACCATCAGCGTTAGAAAATCTGCGAATAAAAAGCATAGAACAAATTACATTATCTATTAAACACAGTCGTCTACTGTTAGAATGTGATTACTGCTTCAGTGTATAATTTAATGCGTAGGAATTATAGGAACAAGTTATCTTCATGTTTCTATCGAAGCGAGCTGAGTTGGTAATCATCATTGTTATTGTGTATATTACGTAAAGACTACAATTATAACATGTTAAATTATCAACAAGAAAAATTTCAGCAAGATAGCCTAATAACCTCTTATAACATGTTATAACTCCATAGTCTGAACCTAGCAAAAGGAAGCAAACAATACGTACCTAAACCAATTGTGACTGTGCTTCCGAAAACTCATGTCCGATTATGCAAGAACCTGTAAAATATTATGGAAACAATGACATTTGTTAGAACGCTTATCCAAACTACCTATATAATGTCAGTCGCGACAAATGGAATGGGTCAGTAAATTCAATTAAATGCGTAGGAATTAGGAACAAGTTTTCTTCATGTTTCTATCAAAGAGAGCTGAGTAGGTAATCATCATTTTGCGATTTAAGAGTAAATCTTTTCAATAGAACAAAAAATGGGCTACATACCTTCATCGTAACACTGCGTTTGAAGGACTCATCAACAAAATCTGCAACAATAAAACAAACACATTTAATACTCTGTACCACAGCTGACGTACACATTTTTTTCACATATGATTATTGCTTCAGTGTATAATTTAATGCGTAGGAATTATAGGAACAAGTTTTCTTCATGTTTCTATCAAAGAGAGCTGAGTAGGTAATCATCATTTTGCGATTTAAGAGTAAACTTTTCATTAGAACAAAAAATGGAATACATACCTTCATCGTAAAACTGCATTTTAGAAACTCATCAACAAAATCTGCAACAGTAAAACAAACAACACATTTAATAGTCTGTACCACAGCTGACGTACAAATGTATTTTGCAAATGATTACTGCTTCAGTGTATAATTTAATGCGTAGGAATTATAGGAACAAGTTTTCTTCATGTTTCTATCAAAGCGAGCTGAGTTGGTAATCATCATTGAAAAACAATAATTAATCGAAGGTGAATAATATGTGATTTTTTTTTTTACCTTTTTGTTTCGATGTTGCATTGTAAAATTTATGATTTTTGCTGCGTTCTGCATACGTGTACTCTGTAATAGAAGAGAAGATCGATTACTTCAAATGCCCAAATCGATAATTTTAATCAGTCAAGGAAAAATCGAAGCCTAGTCAGACGAAATCACGTGTATCGTTCATAATTGTTACAATTCAGAGACGAGAAATAACTAAAGGAATGATCGAATCATCACAAGAAGCATAATCAATTCTATTTTTGTTCTAATCAAAGTTGATATTTACCTTTTTTATATGGAAACGAAAACACTCCCCTCGTAAACCAATCTCTGCTAGATAATCTGCAAATAAACATAATTAAGCATTTTATCTTAACAAAAGACAATACTAACCTGCATTACATCTTAAAGGGACTAAGTGCGTTAAGACAACAGGAGGGAAGGATCTGTGAGAGGACAAAACAACAACAACAAACAAAATGGAACAATAGTCTTGTACAACAGTTTCGGTTGTATTTCCGAGTTCTTTCCCCTCGCTCTGTTCACTGTTCTTCTGCCTAACGGCCGTTGTTCTCCTTTTCATACATGGAAAGTTTCTGCTTTAATTAACGCTAAGATGCATAATGCTGGCTTAAACCGATTCCTGTACCGGTGGCTCGTAGCCCTCCGGACGATCGACGGTGACACCACCCTCGGCAGCTCCGGTCGACACCTCGGCACCCTTGCCGCCACCGTCACCGTGCAGCTCCAAAAGATTGGCCAGATCGAAGCGCGGCTTCTTCAGTACCTTAACCTGTACGGAAAGTGACGGAAGATGGTGGAATGAATGTTAATCCCAAATGCTATTTTAGGATATTTTTTTCGACTAAGAATCAATTTTTTTTTTGCATCTTTCAACCCTAGATTGGATCAATGTGCTGAAAACAGGTGAGCAATATGAATTAATCGTATCTTACGTTCTCCCGTTGTTTAAATGGTGGACGGAGTGTGACGTCAAACTCCGCCATCCATTTAACAAAAGGGACAAGTTCTCTGGACCTCACCTGTTTACATCTCATAGAAATTGGTTGCTCTCCAAAACAGTCGATTATTAAAACTTGTTGTATTAGCGAGCTCAAAAACACTATAGGAACATACACCTGTATACACTAAGATTATTTACCGAAATCTCAACAGCTGAACGTTCGGTGATTTTTCACAGTTTTCCTGTAATTTTTCACAGATATTCGATGAAAAATGACAGAAAAACTGTGAAAATCGATGAAATAATCTTAGTTTATGCAGGAACATTTTTGCTTAAGTAACTCCTTTTTAGAGAGCAACTGCTTGCGGCTAGTAGAGTTTAAGATTCAAATCCTGTTGAGGTCTTAGAATGTGGAATTCACTATGCACTAGGTATTCACATTGCTACCGTTTGTATACGGAACAATTACACAAAGAATCACATAACGTATTCGGACTTTTTTTTTCTTCGCCGGTCACACTACCACTTACCTTACGAATGTAGACATCGTGCAGCGGGTAGATACCCTGACATGCCTTCTCGATATCCTTGGCGATCGAGTCAGGCAGCAGCTTGTTGACGACCTCCTTCAGATCCGAGCTGGTCACATCACGGGTAATGATGGTAGTCATTTTCCGGCGGATTTCCTTGATCTGGGAGTGCTGGGCATAGCAGGTCTTGCGCTGCGACACCGAATCCTTGATGGTGAAGCCGATGCAGAACACACGCAGCAGATAACCGTCGGTGGTCTTGACATCGACCGAGCACTCGATCAGAGTTTGCCATTTCTTGACCATGGATCTGAAAGGGAATTAATAATTTCTTGGATTAGCAATTTTTCAATATTGTTTACCAGGCGTCCTCAAACAACTTCTAGGTTAGGCGGACGACGGGAATATAAAGAATACAGCAACAAAACATTGACTTCAGGATGAACCCGATTTGCTTACCTCAGTTTATCGGTGGTCAAGTCCATTCCGTGGAAGTTGCACAGCACATTGCGGCCATGGACATCTTCAGCAATCAGCTTGAACTTACGGAACGATCTCTCGGCATCGGTGTCGTTCTGCAAATCGGCCAGAGACACCTCAAACACGCGGCCCTTCAGACCGTCCGAAGCGATCCTTGTTCCCTGGGTACGGTTTACCAGGGTCTTACCGACCTGACGGGTCGAGAACATGTTCGGGGCCTTCACATCGTACCAATCCTTGCGGGTGAACGGATCCACAACCTTCTTTTTCGATCCTTTTTTGCCTCCTTTGGAGGTACCCTTATTTTTGCCGACCGCCATGATTACACTTCACGATCAAAAAGAACGGAAACACTCGACGTTTGACAGCTCGAAAACTTGATTTCCACTGAACTGAATTATTAGTACAACGCCACTCTTTGACATAACGTCAAAGATTTAGCACTAGTCTAGTACGGTGTTTCCGAATGTCAAGCGTATTGTCAGAGAACTGTCATTAGATTTTGTTTACCTTTCTGTTTTGTTCTGCAAATCGTAATTTCGTAACAAACTATCATTGTGACCTTATTAGTGTTTTAAAATGGTAAAAGATCGACAAAAAATCATTTTTTTCATTAATAGTAAACCCCATCGTTTCAGACTGGTTCTATCATCCTAGCGGGCCTGGGATTGGCCGCCATTGGCTTTGGAGGACGAGCTTTGCTCCGGCAGATGCCCAACGCCGCTAGTAAAATGCAAGAAGCACTTCTAAATTTGCCCAAGTTTGATGCGGAATCGATGGCTAATTCCAAGTACTACAAGGGAGGATTCGATCCGAAAATCAACAAGCGGGAGGCAGCTCTAATCCTGGGGGTCAGTCCGTCGGCATCCAAAATTAAGGTAATTTGTTTTTAGGTTTTAAATTGCGTAATTATAACCATGTTTATGCAGTTCGTTTTGTTATTGCCGCCAAGCAGGGGGCTCTATCCCTGTCAGCAGAAGTGAGTCAATTTAAAATCGTTAGTTTCTACCGGTTGGTAGAACCAACCGGTGGAAAATAACAATTTTAAATTGGCTCACTATTTGACTAGTTACCTCTATGACTGAACTGTCATCAGACTGAGATTAACCCCGACGGTGCAAAACCTAATAGCGGGAATTTGTGGATTCTATATTTCTTGTTCTTAGGTGCAACTTGTTTCAGCTAGCGGACTTTCAGTTCAACATCATTTCAGTTAAAACTTTCACTAAGCGAAAGGCGAGTGTATTCACTTATTTACTTTCTTTTTAGATCAAAGATGCGCACAAAAGAATCATGCTTCTGAATCATCCAGATAAAGGAGGATCCCCATATTTGGCCGCCAAAATCAACGAAGCGAAAGATTTTATGGATAACTCGAAATAAAAATCATTGATTATTAAACAGCATTGTGTTGCATACATCGTTTATAGATAATCGTTTTTGTTTTAGGATATGTGAAATATATTGAGTTAACTCGATAAAAAGCTAGATTGTTTTCAATATAATGTATTTATTCAAACATTCAAGCTTATAATACGATAGGGTGGGCGAGGCAGTAATGAAGGAACATTTAATTTATTTAAAAAAAATGGATTAATCTAAGCAAATATAAATTTATCATTTTTTATCTGCTGTAGCAAATAATTTTTATTTTATGTTCAACAATAAAATTTTCGTTCTTTTTGTTTGCTGAACATCGAAAGTAATGTTCTTAGAAGATTGGCAATGCTTCAACCATAATAAAGAAATACCATAAGGGTTCGTCCATTAATTATGTCACACTTTTTATGGGGTAGGGGGGGAGGTGGTTTGAAACTGAGACGAGCCATACAAAAACAAATAAGATCCATACAAAAAATGTGACAAAGGAGGTAGGGGGGTTGAAGATGGGCCAATTTTGCGTGACATAATTAATGAACCATCCCTAAACGAACTGTATCCCGGATGGATAAACTATCCCACAAATGGTTTGGATGATACCTCGAACACGTCGTTAAGCTCTCTTTTTATGGTCATTGGCAATTTAGTTCATTAGCTTGAAGGTGGGCGTTGGCCAAATTTGGATTTTTCAGATATAATCCTAAATAGGACCTAGATTATTTAATACTCTAGTAACCTCAAGTCCGTGCTCTGTCACAATGTTTCATTGTGATTAATCAACACTCAAAGGGGTAAAATATCAAATTTGGGGTGAATTTGAAAGAAAGGGAACTTGGAGTGTAGAGCGCACTGCCCACTGGACGATTCTGAAGCCTGGCCAAGTGAGTGGGGTATGGGTTTATTTGATTGAACGTCATTTCCAATGTATATATTGATACATTCAACCATTGGCATTTGAGATAAGACAGAGATAGGATGCGGAGGGCCCGCTTAGGGGAAGCGTAACCCATGTTATGGTTTCCATTTATTAAATAGTTCAGATAGGCTGGAAATGACATGTTCATAGTGAGAAAATGTACCATATGGGGCCCGTTCACTGATCAAAATCAGATTCACATCGTCAGACCCTGCCCAAGAATAAGAGGATTGACGATGACTTGTCAAGTTTTATTTTGAATTTGCGTTTTGCATTTAATACTCTAGTAAATCTCGCGTCCGTGCTCATTCACAACAGTGTGAGGTGTCAATACTCACTGGGTCATATATCTTAGACCAGTTCCAAATTAGTTTGCTATTAATATCTTCTGCATCGCAGTTCGCGATAGATTCCTAAATATGGGTTCTCTTTTCCGACCATAATAGTGTGGGGGAAGGGGGTGAGTTCTGGATCAGCAGTGGAGGGGGGCCCATCGGTTTTTGTGGGCAGACCGTCCAAAGCCCATTCCTCACAGATCGGAGGCTGCTCACGCAGACCAACGCCATCTTCGTGTAGGTGGAAGTTTTCCCTATCCGATGATGGTGTTGGTTTGCGTGGGTGGCCTTCGCTTTGTGGGTGGGGGCTTTGGAGCGGTTTGTTTACAAATGCTGATGGGCCCTTTTCTATTGTTGATCCAGAGTTAAACGTTGCGATATGAGAGCGAATAGAGGCGAGTAAATAGGGAAGACAACACCATGACCCAAATAGGTAACCAATGCATGCGGCTCACACTTAACTTGTTCTATTTCTTTCTTTCTTCCTATCATGTACTAATATTGACTGCCTGAGGACAAATGGGAACACGACCAGAAGATCAATAGGAGAAAAAGAAAATTTGAACTAGAAAAGAAGAATTAAACTTGCACCGGCAAGAGGAAGCAGACAGAAAGGATCATGCCGGTTGGAGACAGCCAATGTATACTGGACGAAGCTTGTATCTAGGAAAAGTCGTATGTGCAGGAAACCGTAAGTAGGATAAGAATCGTAAAAGGTGTGTGCTTGCTTGATAAGATCCTAACTTTACTTTAAATACACGGTAGGAATCGAATATCCATTTATGATTAAGGTTTTGCCCATTTTTCAGTGGGAGTGGCAGTACTCATTGATGAGTGATTTATCGTACCCATTTATTAGTAACTGTTAGCAGCTAATGATTAATTGATTTACCTATTTTAGAAATACCTATACTTCACATCAGAACCTCATTTCCTTCAATTACTACTCCGTCGCAGCACACACCTTATATGGATCGCTAACCTTTATTTAGTTTCAGCATTTTCGACATTATAATCAAAAGGTGAGTTTTAAAAAGTATAATTACCATGCATATAGATAAGTTAATGTACCAGAACCTGGACGGACACGAGCCTACCCAGGGGAGGACCCGGATACGACCACCCATGTGTGTCTAGAGTATCGCACGAGCTGACGAGTGCAACGGGAAGGACAGTAGGTGTATAGACTAGGGGGTTGGTCCCTAGATAAGCCTTCTTAGCGGAAGGCACAGCCTATGCACTGAACAATTACAATTACAATTACAATTGGCAATTTAGTTCATTAGCTTGAAAGCATCATCATATCAAGGAAAACTACACCACAATAGAAAGAATGAATTATTTAAACAAAGCTGACAGTGTTTTAAAATTAAAATTTGGTGAAACAGCTTTGAAAGTTCTGTAAAAATAATTTCAAGTGTATATAAAAGTAGAATGCATTGATTTCTTTGGGTTCCACTATTACAAAGGATAGAAAGTCGGCGAAGAGAATCTGTCAATGTTACGTAGGAGCTAGTGCAATTTTCAGCTTGAAATGGGATATACATTTTAAAAAGATCTTATTGTAACCACAGAGAATTGTAACCTGACACCAGAATATTTAGGCTCTGAACCATTAAATTTTGGCGGATTATTTTAACTTTTGGTTTAAATTTGACAGATGGAAAGTTATCTTTGAGGCTGTGCTCCATTTGGTGAATTGAACCTCCACAAAAATCAACCGATCAACATCTTAATTAATTTTCGAAATGTCAAATTTAAGTGAAAATTTACCAAATGGAACACATCAAATATGGACCAACAGGTTTGTGCCATAAAAAGGAGGAAATGGAACACAGCCTGAGCATGGTTATTTCTGACAGACAACAACCATAGAGGTAACTCTAAGACAAGTACACACCAAAATTCATAAATTTTGTTCGGTATTTTTTTTTTGCTGAATTTGATCTGTAAAATGTAATTTTTACCGAATGTTTGGTAAAATTTGATGTTTTACCACTTTCCAGCAATAAGAAAAACTGCATATCTGTAATTTGCAGAAAATTACCGAAAACTGTATATAAACATTACTGATCGAAACAATACTAAATACTAAACATTACTGAAATCCCACAATACTGTCAAAAATTGACGAATGTACTGTAAAAACAGTCTTTTACAAACCAGACTGTAAAAAGTACCGAACGGTTTGTAAATTGTCTGTACTGCCAAACTCAACATTTTTCCACCATTTTAAAATTGAATTGAATATTGCGCAGTTCTCCGTAGTTTAAGCATAGAGGAAACTCTAAGACCACTGGGTCCCGAAGAAAATCATTATTATTTTTGGCTCACTCAGTACCAGAACAACGGTCCCAAGCAGTCCCAAGCTATTTCACTCACCCCTGCATGTTCTGCATGAATCCACACACCCCTGATGTTATCTGTCAAACTTTCATAGCAAATCAAAACAAACATAGTGTAGTAATAGAATTTCAACTAGAATAGGGTACGTTAATCGTTTGCTTGGGACCAATAGGCTACTAAAGTGGTGAGCCAATTTAAAATCGTTAGTTTCGTATTGATTGTTGGTTTAAGTGCGCAGTTAAAGTAAGTGTTAAAAAATGGAAGACATCAAAACAAATTGGAGCTCTTGATGGAGGAGCAAGAGATCTTTTCCGTAAGTAAAATTAAAATACATTTTTTTTTCATTGTACTTTGTAGATGGATCTTCAGAATGATTTCAACACGGTGCCAAACGGTGAAGTCCCACTTTTATACCTAAAAGGAAATTTAATGGAAGATACTTCGGAGGGATGCATTGCATGGAAGGGATGGTCTGCTTCCATCAAGAAAGATGCCAAGTATTGTTTCCGAGTGCTGTGTGAGTGCTTCGCTGCTTTCAACATAAGCTGCAAGTCAGAAGACAAGCAATTTTTCTTGTTTCCCTCTGCAATTTTTCAAGGCGTAGGAAACCTTACTACCACGGGAGAGAAATTTACGAGAAGCATCAATTGATCGAAACTATTAAGAAATTTTGAAACTGATAAAGTTTAAAAACTGATTAAAATCATCATGGATTAATAAATGTAAAAAAATAATTCAAATGAACCATATTATTATTCACACCAAATTTGGAAAAAGAAAAGAAAAAAAAATCGATAAAAACCAGCTACAATTCAATCGGTAGTTTTTGCTGAACAAATTGTAAATTTTAAAATCAAACCAGTAATTAATTTTACTGAATTTCGGTAAAAATCTGACAGAAAGCTTTTTTGTTTATTTTATCAATCATTCAGTTAAATTTGCAATGCGTTTCAGCAAATTTTGACAGCTCATATGACCGAAGTCAAAATTACAGAACGCACTGTAAAACAAAAAATACCGAATAGATTACCGAATGTTCAGCTGTTCCATATTCGGTAAAAAATTACAGTATACTGTAAAAAAATCTTAGTGTGTAGGTCCCGAAGAAACGTGCTCAACTTTTTGGCTCACCTCTGGTACTATCTTCGGTCCCAAGCTTGTCGAATCACCCCTCGAAAAACCAATAACCCCTCATTTTATCTGTCAAACTTTCATAGCGAATCAAAACAAACATTGCGTAGTACTAGAATTTCGACTAGAATAGGGTACGTTAATCGTTTGCTTGGGACCAATAGGCTACTAAAGTGGTGAGCCAATTTAAAATCGTTAGTTTCGTATTGATTGTTGCAACAACCGTGTTTAGCCGGTTTATCAACAACGATGGCTGAGTTTTGCTCGAAAACCGGTCAATCGATAACACAGGGATTTTCGAACAAGGAAAATAACTTTCAAAATGTCACTTTTAACCACGAGTTAAACCAACAATCAATACGAAACTAACGATTTTTAATTTGGCTCACTACTTGACTAGCCTATTGGTCCCAAACAAACGATTAACGTACTCCATTCTAGTTGAAATTCTAGTACTACGCAATGTTTGTTTTGATTCGCTATGAAAGTTTGACAGATAAAATGAGGGGTTATTGGTTTTTCTTATGTTTCGAGGGGTGAATCGATTGGCTTGGGACCGAAGAGAGTACCAGAGCTGAGCCAAAAAGTTGAGCACGTTATTTCGGGACCTTCTATATAGTCTTATACCACAGACAGACATACAAATTAGTACCGTTGTACTTCTTTAATCTAGTACCTCAAAACGTACAATTTGTGGTACTAGCTTAAAGCAGTACAACCATAGAGGTAACTCTAAGACCACTGGGTCCCGAAGAAAATCATTATTATTTTTGGCTCACTCAGTACCAGAACAACGGTCCCAAGCAGTCCCAAGCTATTTCACTCACCCCTGCATGTTTTGCATGAATCCACACACCCCTGATGTTATCTGTCAAACTTTCATAGCGAATCAAAACAAACATAGTGTAGTAATAGAATTTCAACTAGAATAGGGTACGTTAATCGTTTGCTTGGGACCAATAGGCTACTAAAGTGGTGAGCCAATTTAAAATCGTTAGTTTCGTATTGATTGTTGGTACAACGGTAGTACAACCATAGAGGTAACTCTAAGACCACTGGGTCCCGAAGAAAATCATTATTATTTTTGGCTCACTCAGTACCAGAACAACGGTCCCAAGCAGTCCCAAGCTATTTCACTCACCCCTGCATGTTCTGCATGAATCCACACACCCCTGATGTTATCTGTCAAACTTTCATAGCAAATCAAAACAAACATAGTGTAGTAATAGAATTTCAACTAGAATAGGGTACGTTAATCGTTTGCTTGGGACCAATAGGCTACTAAAGTGGTGAGCCAATTTAAAATCGTTAGTTTCGTATTGATTGTTGGTACAACCATAGAGGTAACTCTAAGACCACTGGGTCCCGAAGAAAATCATTATTATTTTTGGCTCACTCAGTACCAGAACAACGGTCCCAAGCAGTCCCAAGCTATTTCACTCACCCCTGCATGTTCTGCATGAATCCACACACCCCTGATGTTATCTGTCAAACTTTCATAGCGAATCAAAACAAACATAGTGTAGTAATAGAATTTCAACTAGAATAGGGTACGTTAATCGTTTGCTTGGGACCAGTAGGCTACTAAAGTGGTGAGGCAATTTAAAATCGTTAGTTTCGTATTGATTGTTGGTACAACAGTGAACTTTGTATGTCTGTACAAGGTATTAGAGTTACCTCTATGGTTAAACTTAACTCGACAATTGGTTCACAGCCTTATATTCTAAAGCCCTACAGTAAAAGTATGGACGTCTGTCAAAAGTTGTTCCAATCGAACCGTCAAAATGCACCGCTTTGCTCGATTGGAACAGCTTTTTTTCAGTTTTGTGGTGACAGTCGTCCATACTTTTACTGTAGGGCTTTATTATATTCCTGTACTGCATGAACTAAAATTATCCCATTTTGATAATTTTGATAGGTGTTATAATATTATTGAGCTGAAAAAATGTCAATGTGTCAGTTTCAGTTTGTTTTCGTTTGTTTATTTTGCTGTCAACGTCAACGAAAACTTTCGAGTCGCAGCGGCAGTCGCGTCCAGATTTTTCTCTACAAAAAAAGGCGATATGCCTGGGCACAAAGCGTACGCGTAAAATAACAACAAACAGCTGTGATATCCTATTTGATCCTTTAACATCGATTTTTGCTTCTACAATTGGTAAGTTAAAACATTTTTATAAAGTAGTGGGGTCTGCTCCAAAAGCAATTTCGTAAACTAAGCTTATTCCGCCGGCAAGCTCGAAGTTCCAGCGTGGCACTTTTGAGGACTGATAGATACAGTTATTCTGTGTCGCATCTTATTGTTCAATATTCCTTATCTTATCTCATTGATTCCAGAGAAAATCTCTGGACGTTTCCATTGTCGATCAAAATGCGCAAACTACGGGGAGGACAAACGAAAGAAACCCGCAAGCAGAAGCAAGAACGCCGCGAGGAAAACCTGAAAATCCAACAGCAGCTGAAAACGATTGTACTTCCCATCTGTTGTGTGTTTTTCCTGTGCATGGTGGTGTATGTTTTTATGAAAACGCGTCCCCGTTATGAGGAACTGTAAGCCACTGCGAACTGCAAAGGTTGGAATCGTTTTCTTTATCGATCACTGCAATATTTTACTCTACAGATTAGTTTAAATGTCATCAAAGATTACTATTTTTCACAAAGGAAATATTTTCCATATATTTTGTCGCATTTCAAGAATCTTATGATGGGAACATTGCATTTAATTCTAACATACATCTACAAGACGAGAGAGAGAGAGGAAGGTAGCCCAGTTCATGCAATGTATGTACAAAGTTTACAAAGTCTATCTATTTCTATAATAAAGTGAAAGCTATTAAATCGAAAAATAATATTACATCTTGTTTCTGTGACATTTTTCCTTTTCCAAAATATTATCGGTAGTTGAAAACCGGAAAACCCCACACGCGTCAATCGATTTTAGTCTTGTTCTGTACGTTAAACATAGTGTCAGGCACAGTGCGCTTTATTCGCACAATTATGTGCACTATGTTCGACGTTATGTTTAACGTACAGAATGAGAGTAACATCGAATGTCGCGTGTGGGGTTCTCCGGTGTCCAACTTGACTGACAATAAATGAATGCCATTTCCCGATAGTCAGCAAATTCCGGAAAACCATGTTAAAGGCACCGGTTTGACCCCCATCTAGTCTAAAAAAAATTCGGCTCAGAATTGGCAAATCAAAGTTGGCACTCGTGGAGAATAGAAGAACTATGAGAATGAGAGTGATGAAGGTTTCAAAATTTTCCACGGGGAGGTTATACGAGTGCAATCTTAAAATGCTTTTATTTTGCAAATGGAGCATTTTATTTAAATCTCGTAACGACGAAAATTAAAGATCCTCATGCAGATATGCCCAATAAAGATAAAGAAGTCTTGCAAATCTTATGGATATTTCTCTAAATAATCAAAGCTCAAAGACAAATTAGTATGTTACATTTGCGTAACCGCTTCTAAATCCAAGATTTTCAACAACGCTGACAACACGTGAAACACAGACTTCAACAAGTAAATCCTGGCGTACATGGTCGGCAGAAGATGCTCGCGATTTTCCTGGCAAAAGACATAATTAGATTAATCAACTACTAAGTCGCGTATCGTACTTACCGTCAATATCCGCACTCGACGATAGTATTTACTTAGGCAAATTACCAATCCCGATGCGAAGCTCAGTACCAGATGAGGTGACATTCGCGATAGCTGACCATCGCCTAGCGCTTGCTTTATCATATCGGGAAAACCAACCACATAAGCCCAAAACAGATGCCATTCATCCTAAAATAGTTAAATAATAGAAAATATAAATTTTCCATATTTTTACTGAAAACTACCGATATTAAACTTTAGTTAGTATACCTCTTCTTTGAGTAGAGTGAAATCAACATTTTCTACTGAGGGTAAATCTGGGTAGTATCGAGTTCTTTGCTTTTCTGATAGCGTTTTAAACAAGACAGATATTCTGGCGTAATTATACAAAATAAAGGCGGCACCTGTAAATCAACAAACCTAATGTTATTGGATCGCGTATATCAATATTGAAGAAAATACCTACCTTTACTGGACTGATTTTTTTCTGTCTTCATGTCAATTGGACTGGATGCTTTGGATTCCAGCATATCAACGATGGCAGCCGACCGCCCCAGACTAGCAATCATTTCCTGGAATCGCTGATGGTCTCTCACGCGTATGCCATACTTGTGCTGTGCGATCAGCTGCATGTCGTTTGCACGTTTCCTAAATTAAATAAATATTCTCAAACAATCCGAATAGAAAATGTTAGAATGTTTACTCACTTAATGAAATCCGTAGCGTTTATACCATTCGTTGTTACTGGACCACATATAAGATCTATTTCATTGGTAGTTGCCTTGCTACGATTGCGGGTAATTTTAATAGTCAGTGTATTTTCTTTCAATGACCTATCGTTTGAGAAATTAAACCCGCCGAATTCAAATAAATTCCTAACTACGTTATTTACTGTTAAAATTCTAAATTCCGTTATATTCATATTATCTAGACTTTCTTTATCCACATCAGTACTTAAAATTATTTGTTGAGCATTGTCCCTGCGCCCGAATTTGCCTTCTAAACATTCGGTAATAAAACAACGAAATGCTGTTTCTCGTTTCAGGAAGAAAGCTACAGACGAATCTGTTACACGTACGCTTTTAACCGGTAAAACCCATTCTTGACTTTCTTTAACAAAGGATTGAGCATCAAAATTAGCCAAATCGTTTTTTGGCTCAACAATTTTGACCACGATATCGCCATATTCGGTCAACTGTTTGTTTAGATATTTCAATGAGAGCCGACCCACCTTTTGGAGGCAACGCTTTAACTGTTCTTCTAGATTTTCTAAATTATTCATTATAATTTATAAAAAAAAACACTTGCTTGCAAAAAAAACAGTAGTTAATCCTGTGTAAATTCTCAAAATTCTAGAAAATAATTTTAATGGTAACAAGGAAGCCTTCGTTCAAATATGTAATAATTCTCTCTTAACATTTGAAAATGCCCTATCAACTTTTGCAAACATAATTTAATGCTCTTTTCACACGAAGAAAAGCTCGCCTACGCAAATCAACAACACCATCAGGTAAGGAAGATTATTTCCTTCCCGATAATGTTCTTGGTTTGCGTAGGCGAGCTCAAGTTCACACGAAAAGGGCTGTACAAGTTTTGTTACAAAAGTCGATAGGACTTTTTCAAATGTTACGCAAGATTTCGGTTTGTTTACGTTACTATGCATAACGCATAGTTTACCACCCTCCCATCCCCATGAATTTCGTCCACGCCCGCTCAGAGTGGGTGCTTGTAGCTGTGAACGTGCCCCACATGTTGAAATCCCCCAAAAGCTACACACCGACCGCTGCACGTCCGCACGACACAAACAGACTAACAACAACGCAGTGAAAACTTCAAAGTGCACGACAAAGAACGCAAAATCGTAAATATTGAAGTGCATTTGCAAATCTTTATGAAGCCGCCCACACTTAAATCTAATTAACTCCAAAAGTCTGAAAGCACCAAGTTTAAAATCCAATAATGTGCAAAAAATGTGAAATGCGGCTCTGATTACATTGTGACTAAAGGCTCATCCATTTGCAATCAAAGAACACGAGAAACCGCTTATCTTTTCGCTATAAGGATCCATAAATTGCAATTAGCATAACCGGCACTGGCGAAATGAGCTTCAATCTAACGCAAACAGTTTTCTCGGCGCTCAACGCAACAATGAAGACTACGACGGAATCTGGGGTAGGGGTGCAAGTACCTGATAAAATACACTATCCGGCAAGCTCCGAAAGTTTGAATTTTGTAGTTATTCCACTTGCCGTCCTCATCACTGTGATGCTTCTATCTGTTATGGTATTTTGTATTAAAATAGTGAAAGTTGTAAAATCAATGTTTTAATAATGGATTTAATTTCCAGGTCTACCTAATGGCAAGAAAGAAGCATAAAATTTTTACGAAACATTCCTACGTTCCCAGCTTCTCGTTCGATTCGTCGGATCTCGAGGACGATAATGACCTGGAAACGGAACACTTGCTGAAGGGAAAGCTCCGTTTGGATGAACCCTACTTCAAGGGAATCAATAGCAGTAAGACCTACACCAGTGGCCAGGAATTGTACACTTAAGTCTAAATTAAATGGAGTGCACGATTCTCGCTACGCCAGCCCCCATATATTGCCATATACTCGATGCCAGAATCCCATTTAGTAGCTTCTTACTCGCTACGCTAGTATTACAAACTTATATTTATTCGCAACCAGTTAAGAATACACCAAATAATGCATCCACTTAAGTTATATAATAAGTGTTTTTCTTTTTTTTTTTGTTTATTGTTAATTATTTGCCTAAAATACATTACTACTATATAATAGAATCGCTTTGACTAAGATCAAACGATAGTTCCAAATATTTACATTGATTTTGTCACTATTTCTTGTCATCCGAACTCAGCATCCGTGATGTTAGGTCGTAGAATCCGAAAAATATAGCCCCACCTAACGTAATCCACAGCACACGGGGTACGAAGCCTGCAAAAACGCTGAAATGACATAAAAACACAAATTCGGACATAAGTCTCTGCTCTGATTTTTTATTCAATGTGGTGCGGGCATCGCTTATCTTCTCGAATAGCTCACAAATAGCGTACCCGGGGAAAATTAACCATAAATAACCAACAAATTCTATAGAGGTCTCTTAACACTCCGAATACGGTGGGTAAAAAACTTTACGCCGACTACGAAGCCTCCGAAAAACGTGTAACGGCAAGTTTGCAATGGCACAACTTAGCCATTTCTTAATGAATTTCAAAAATTGTGGTGCCTTTAGAATTCCTAGGGTTTCTAGATGATTTTGATTGCAAAAAACTTGAAAATAGAGTCGTCTACTTTTTTAAAAAGCGAAAAGAGTTGTTACACGTTTTTTTGAAAGGTGTGTTTGTAGGGTTTTGCAAGTGGCGCAAGATCTGTAATTTAGATTAATGGGCACAAATGTTCACAACTAGCCAGAACACAGTCATGGTTCCTATATATGGATCCTGGAGACAACGGAACGGTCCTCGAAATATCCGGAACATCCGTAAAAATGGTTAATCCATGATCCTGATCCTAGAGCTCTGCGGTTTTTTTTTTAAACATTAGGAACTGTGATATAAACAAATATTTGGGATCGTGACATAAAATGTACCTGGATGGCCATGGGACCGTCCTCCGGAAGATCCGGAACATCCGTAAAAGTGGACAATCCATGAAACTGATCCTAGAGCTCCGTGTTTTTTTTAACATTAGGATCTGTGATATAAGAATGAATTTGGGCCATGGACCCAGATGGCCATGGGACCGTCCTCCGGAAGATCCGGAACATCCGTAAAAGTAGTAAATCCACGATCCTGATCCTAGAGCTCCGTTGTTTTCGTGAAAACATTAGGAACTGTGATGATAGAAAAAATTTGGGCTTGTGACGTAAACATGAACCTCGATGTCCATAGGACCGTCCTCCGGAAGATCCGCAACATCCGTAAAAGTGGACAATCCATGAAACTGATCCTAGAGCTACGCGTTTTTTAACATTAGGATCTGTGATATAAGAATGAATTTGGGCCATGGACCCAGATGGCCATGGGACCGTCCTCCGGAAGATCCGGAACATCCGTAAAAGTAGTAAATCCACGATCCTGATCCTAGAGCTCCGTTGTTTTCTTGAAAACATTAGGAACTGTGATGATAGAAAGAATTTGGGCTTGTGACATAAACATGAACCTGGATGTCCATAGTACCGTCCTCCGGAAGATCCGGAACATCCGTAAAAGTGATCAATCCATGAAACTGATCCTAGAGCTCCGCAGTTTTTGAAAAAACACTAAGAACTGAGATGATAGAATGAATTTGGGGTCGTGACATAAACATGAACCTTGATGGGTATGGGACCGTCCTCCGAAAGATTCGGAACATCCGTGAAAGTGGAAAATTCACGAAACTGATCCGAGAGCTCCATGGTTTTCATGAAAACGTTAGGAACTGCGATATTAGAATGAATTTGGGATCGTGACATAAACATGGACCCAGATGGCCATCGGACCGTCCTCCGCAAAATCCGAAAATTCAGTAAAAGTGTCATTGATCCACGGTTTTTTCGAAATCTCTTGGAACTGTCATATATAAATTAATTTGCGTTCGTGTCATAAACATGTACCTAGAAGGCCATGGGACCATCCTCCGCAAGATCTAGAACATCTTTAAAAATGGTCAATCCTTGAAACTGATCCTAGAGTTGTACGATTTTTTCCAAAGCATGTGGAATTGCGATATAAGAAAGAATTCGGGGTCATGACATAAATGCGTACCGGAGACGAACCAGCCCAGGGCTGAAAGTCTCCTTAATAAAGATAAAAAAAAACACGGACCTGGATGGCCATAGGACCGTCCTCCGGAAGATACAGAACATCCGTAAAAGTGATCCAGAGGTTTCTTATATCACAGTGTTTAAAAAAGAACTGCAGAGCTCTAGGATTAGTTTCACAGTATGATAAATTTACGGATGTTCCGGATCTTTTGAAGGACAGTCTCATGGCCATCCGGATCCATATTTATGTCACGACCCTAAATTCTATCTTAAATCGCAGTTCCAAGAGTTTTCGAAAAAAAACCACGGTTTTTTTCACAGTTTCATCGATGATCCACTTTTACGGATAATCAGGATCTTCTGGAGGACGTTCCAATGGCCATCCAGGTTCATTTTTACGGATCTTCCGGAGGACTGTCCCATGGTCATTAGGTTCCATCTTTATGTTAAGACTCCAAATTCATTCTAATATCACAGTTCCACGGCTTTTCGTTCTTGGATGAATTTTATGGCTTGCAATCGGGCTAAGGCCTTGTTGTCCTCTGCTGTCCGAAGAAGTCGTCTCAACTCTACTCGATCCATGGCCAGACTTTGCCAGCCTCGTAGTCTGCGAAGGGTCCGCAGGTCACCTTCTACTTGGTCGATCCACCTTGCCCGCTGCGCGCCTCTTCTTCTTGTTCCTGTTCGGGCGCTTTCGAGAACCATTTTCACTGCGTCGTCGTGCAACATTCTTACGACATGCCCAGCCTACCGTTGTCGCCCAATTTTTGCAATGTGAACGATGGATGGTTCTTCCAACAGCTGGTGCAATTCTTGGTTCATTCGCTTCCTCCACGTTCCGTCATCCAAGGGCGCGTTTGTACTCCACGAGCATAGTCACGGTCTCGTGGCCGTAGACGACCACCGGTCTAATCAGCGTCTTTTAGATAGTCAACTTCGTGGCGAATTTTATTCGACCGGAACGTCTTCCGGAGTCCAAAGTAGGGACGATTCACTGCCATAATGCGTCTTTGAAATTCTCTGCTGGTATCATTTTCGACGGTCACCAGTGAATCCAAATACACGAACTCATCGACCACCTCGATTTCGTCACCGTCAATCTGAACTCGGGGTGTCTTCCCTAGAACCTTTTCCTTTCATGTATTTTGTGTTTAATGCGTTGATGGCAAGTCCAATCCACCTAGCTTCAGGCTTCAGTCTGATGTACGTTTCCGCCTTCGTCTCAAAGTTCCGTGCCATGATGTCGATGTCATCGGTGAAGCCAAGAAGCTGTCTTAATACTCGTGTCTATCCCAACTCTTCTGATCACACCTTCTAACGCGATGTTGAATAGCAGACACGAAAGTCCATTACCTTGCCGTAACCCCCTTCGAGATTCAAAGGGACTCGAGAGTGTCCCCGATACTCGAACAACGCACATCACTCGATCCATCGTTGGCTTGACCAATCGCATCAGTTTATCTGGAAATCCGTACTCGTGCATAATCTGCCATAGCTGATCTCGATCGATTGTGTCGTATGCGGATTTGAAATCGATGAACAAATGATGTGTACACACTTAATCTAGCTCGGTAAAATCTCCAACAGCCGATTACTTCGGCATTAACTTTTGCTGATATCTCTGCAAAATATCTGTTTGTTAGCTGATATCTCAGCAAAATTTTATTTGTTGGCTGAGTCTCGGCAATTGTTTTACTGAATCTCAGCAAAATAAATTGCAGAACTACTCGGCTATTGGAATCTCGGCGAAAAAAATTAAGTGTGTAAGCAAGTTGTATTTGTGGCATTTCTGCAGAACCTGCCGAATCACGAATATGAACCCATGAATTCCTGCTGGTATTGCCCAAGAAATCTCTTGCAAATGGTGACAGGCGGCGGCGTATAATTTGGGAGAGTACCTTGTAAGCGGCGCTCAGCATTGTGATCGCGCGGTAGTTTCAGCAATCCAACTAGTCGCCCTTTTTGTAGATTGGGCATACAACACCTTGCTTCACTCCTCCGGTAATATCCTCTCCTCCCAAATCTTGGCAATTACCCAGTGCAGCGCTCTAGCCAGTGCTTCACCACCGTATTTGAATAGCTCACTTGGTTGTTGATCTACACCAGTTGCTTTGTTGTTCTTCAGTCGACCGATCTCCTCCTCAACTTCTTGAAGATCAGGGGCCAGTAGCCTATCGTCTCCTGCACGTGCTCCAAGGTCTGTTTCCGTGCCACCTTCGTTTTCTGCTGCATCACAGTTGAGGTGCTCGTCATAGTAATGCTTCCACCTCTCAATTTTATGGAGTGACCATTTTACGGATGTTGTTGATCTTCCGGACGACGGTCCCATGGCCATCTAGGTACATGTTTAAGTCACGATCACAAATTCATTCTTATATCACAGCTCCTAATATTTTTGGAAAAAAAACTGCGGAGCTCTAGGATCTGTTTCATTGATTAACCTCATTTACGGATGTTCTGGACTTACCAGAGGATGGCCCCACGGTCATTTGGGTTCATGTTTATGTCATGACCCCAAAATATTTCTTATATCGCAGTTCCACATGCTTTCGAAAAAAACGTAGAACTCTAGGATCAGTTTCGAGGGTTGACCATTTTTAAAGATGTTCTAGATCTTGCGGAGGACGGTCCCATGGCCTATGTCACGACTGCAAATTAATTTATATATGACAGTTCCAAGTGTTTTCGAAAAAAAACCGTGGAGCTTTAGGATCAGTTCCGTACATTGACCACTTTTACGGATTTTTCGGATCTTCCAGAGGACGTTTCATTCTATCATCTCAGTTCTTAGTGTTTTTTTTCAAAAACTGCGGAATTTTTCGGATCTTCCGGAGGACGTTCCGATGGCCATCTGGGTCCATGTTTACGTCACAATCCCAAAATCATTCGAATGTCACAGTTCCTAACGTTTTCAAGAAAACCACGGAGCTCTAGGATCAGTATCGTTAATTTTCCACTTTCACGAATGTTCCGGATCTTTCGGAGGACGGTCCCATAGACATCCAGGTTCATGTTAATGTCACAAGCCTAAATTCTTTCTATCATCACAGTTCTTAATGTTTTCAAGAAAACCACGGAGCTCTAGGATCAGGATCGTGGATTTACCACTTTTACGGATGTTCCGGATCTTCCGGAGGACGGTCCTATGGACATCCAGGTTCATTTTTATGTCACAAGCCCAAATTCTTTCTATCATCACAG